TGTGAATTGCGCTGCTATAAACATTGATGAGGCTGTGTCCCTGTAGTATGCTGTTTTTAGGTCTTTGGGGTATAGTCTGAGAAGAGGAATAGCTGGGTCAAATGGTGGTTCCATTCCCAGCTTTCCAAGGAATCTTCATACTGCTTTCCAAATTGGCTGCACCAATTTGCAGTCCCACCAGCAATGTATGAGTGTACCTTTTTCCCCACATCCTCACTAGCACTTGATGTTGTTTGACTTCATAATGGCTGCCATTCTTACTGGAGTGAGATGGTATCTTAGGGTGGTTTTGATTTGCATTTCTCTGTCTGCTAGAGATGGTGAGCATTTTTTCATGTATTTGTTGATTGATTGTGTATCCTCATCTGAGAAGTGTCTATTCAGGTCCTTGGCCCATTTGTTGATTGGGTTATTTTGTTGTTGTTGTTTAACCTTTTGAGTTCTTTTTAAACCCTACATATTAGAGCTCTATCTGATGTGTGAGGGGTAAAAATTTTTTCCCAGGATATATTCACCTCACATATTATTTCTCTTGCTGATAAAAATCTTTTTAGTTTGAATTCATCCCATTTATTGATTCTTGGTTTTAACTCTTGTGCTGTAGGTATCTTTTTAAGGAAAAGGCCTGACCCCATGTGATGGAGATTAGGGCCAACTTTTTCTTGTATTAGACACAGAGTCTTTGGTTTGATTCCAAGATCCTTGATCCATTTTGAGTTAACTTTTGTGCATGGTGATAGAAAGGGATTTAATTTCATTTTGTTGCATATGGATTTCCAGTTTTCCCAGCACCATTTGTTGAAGATGCTATCCTTTCTCCATTGCATGCTTTTAGCATCTTTGTCTAATATAAGGTAGTTGTAATTTTGTGGGTTGGTTTCTGTGTCCTCTATTTTGTACCATTGGTCTACCAGCCTGTTTTGGTGCCAGTACCATGCAGTTTTTGTTACTATTGCTCTGTAGTATAGTTTAAGATCTGGTATAGTAATACCACCTGTTTCACTCTTCCTGCTTAGAATTGCTTTAGCTATTCTGGGTCTCTTATTTTTCCAGATGAATTTCATAATTGCTTTTTATATTTCTGCTAGGAATACCATTGGGATTTTGATTGGAATCGCATTGATTGAATCTGTAAAGTGCTTTTGGTGATATGGCCATTTAAATAATATTAATTCTACTTATCCATGAGCAAGGTATATTTTTCCATCTTCTAAGGTCTTCTTCTATTTCTCTCTTTAGGGTTCTGTAGTTTTCATTGTATAGATCTTTCACCTCTTTTGTTAAGTTGATTTCCAAGTATTTTTTTTGAGGATATTGTGAATGGGTTAGTTTTCCTCATTTCCATTTCAGAAGATTTGTCACTGGTATACAGGAATGCCTTTGATTTATGGGTGTTGATTTTATATCCTGCCACTTTTCTGTATTCATGTACTAGTTCTAGAAGTTTCTTGGTATTACCTTTTGGGTCTGCTAGGTATAGGATCATATCATCATCAAAAAGTACTAGTTTAAGTTGTTCTTTTCCTATAGTTATACGTTTAATTTCTTTCATCTGTCTATTTGCTCTGGCCAGTGCTTCCATAACTATATTGAATAGAAGTGGTGATAGAGGGCATTCCTGTCTTGTTCCAGATTTACAAGGGAATACCTTCAATTTTTCTCCATTTAGAATGATGCTGGCCTTAGGCTTAGCATAGATAGCTTTTACAATGTTGAGGTAAGTTCCTGTTATCTCTAGTTTTTCTAGTGTTTTGAACATAAAGTGATGCTGTATTTTGTCAAATGCTTTTTCTGTATCTATCGAGATGATCATATGTTTCTTATCTTTAAGCCAATTGATGTGGTGAATTATATTCATTGATTTCCGTATATTGAACCAGCCTTGCATCTCTGAGATGAATCCCACTTGATCATGGTGCATGATCTTTTTGATATGTTTTTCTATCTGATTTGACAGAATTTTATTGAGGATTTTTGCATTTATATTTATTAGAGATATTGGTCTGATGTTTTCTTTCTTTGAAGTGTCTTTGTCTGGTTTTGGAATCAGGATGATGTTGGCCTTGTAGAATTAATTTGGAAGTACTCCCTCTTTTTCTATTGAAATACATTGGTATTAGTTCTTCTTTAAAGGTCTTTTAAAACTCTGTTGTATATCCGTCCAGTCCTGGGCTTTTCTTTATTGGTAATCTTTTGATGGCTTCTTGTATTTCCTCACTTGATATTGGTCTGTTTAAATTGTGTATATACCCCTGAATCAATCTGAGCAGATCATATGACTTAAGGAAATTATCGATGCATTCACTATCTTTTATTTTATTAGAGTGTAAGGTTTCAAAATAATTTTTAATTATCTTCTCTATTTCTGTAGTGTCTGTTGTGATATTGCCTTTTTCACCATGTATGCTAATAATTTGGGTTCTCTCTCTTCTTCTCTTCATTAGCATGGCTAAGGGTCTGTCGATCTTATTTATTTTTTCAAAGAACCAACTTTTAGTTTTGTCAATTTTTTCAATTGTTTCTTTTGTTATGATTTCATTGATTTCAGCTTTGATTTTAATTATTTCTTGCCTTCTACTGCTTTTGCTGCTGATTTGTTCTTTTTTACAGGGCTTTGAGATGTAGCATGAGGTCATTTATTTGTTGTCTTTTTCTTCTTTTAAGGAGTGAATTCCATGAAATGAATTTTCCTCTTAGTACTGCTTTCATAGTGTCGTAGAGATTTCAATATGTTGTGTCTGAGTTTTCATTTACTTCTAAGAATTTTTTAATTTCCTCCTTGATGTCTTCTGTAAACCATTGTTCAGGATCTTCTAGCTTTCAGAGTCTGTGTTGAAAGATTAGCCTGATTGGTTTACCCCTAAATGTAATCTGCTTCCTTTCTCTTGTGGCTTTTCAAATTCTCTCCTTATTCTGTATGATGGGCATCTTCATTATAATGTGTCTTGGTGTGGATCTCTTGTGATTTTGCTCATTTGGCGTCCTGTAGGCGTCTAGGATTTGGATTTCTGTTTCATTCTTCAAGTCTGGGAGTTTTCTAATGTTATTTCATTGAACAGATTGCTCATTCCTTTGGTTTGGACCTCTATACCTTCCTGTATCCCAATATCTCTTAAATTTGGTCTCTTTATGCTATCCCATATTTCTTGGATGTTCTGCTCATTGTTTATTATCAGTCTCGCTGAGCTGTATACATTCTTTTCGAGATGATATACTTGTCTTCGTTATCTGATGTTCTATCTTCTACGTGTTCTACTCTGCTGGTAATACTCTCATTTGAGTTTTGGTTTATTATTTTCTTCATTTACAGGATTTCTGGGGTTTTTTTTTTGTATAACCTCTATCTCCCTGTAGAGTTGATCTTTTGCTTTTTGGATTTGTTTATGTAATTCATTGTCAAAGTGATCTTTCATTGTCTGAATTTGCTATCTAATGTCTTCCTTGAGACTCCGGATCATCTGAAACATGTATATCCTGAAATCTTTGTCTGACATTCCTTCTGCTGCAGATGTTACATCTTCTAATGTTGAATTGACCTGCATTGTTTGTGGTCCTTTCTTTCCTTGTCTTTTCATACTGCTCACATTTCTTTCCAGCTTTGGGTAAATGTTACGTTAATGTTTTTCCCCTATTTATTTATATTACTCTTGTACAGTTCCAAAATCTTTATTTTGTGGAGAAAAACAATGTTATAAGTTCCCAATATCAATAGTATATCATCTATGCACAAGTTTTCATTATTAATACATTTATAGTTAGACTCTATGTCTACAGATGTTGGCTTCAATTATTATTTAAAATATAATTATTAGTTTCATAAAAGGCATACTATTTCTGATGGCATATAGAGAACTGAAGGTTATGCATAGGATGTTATGTTAAGTGGGGAAGGAGTGATGTCATGGGGTTAATCTAACTTAGCAACTTTGAAGGAGAACTCTAACGAATAGACAGGGGTAATTTACGGAAGAATGTATAAATTCAAACTTCTATCTGTATTTAGAAAATTACCCTGCATATAACTTGTAGAAGTTAGGAGGTTGAAAGTGGGGTAGAGGGAGGAAGAAGGAAAAAATTTAATGAGGAAAGAAAGAAAAAAAGAGAGAGGGAGAAAGAAAATAAGAAGAAAAAAAGGGGAGGGAGTTGGGGCATATGCAATTCCTCTATATTATATTATTCTGGTGATTCAGTTGTTTAAGTACTATTTCATGCAAAGTTCTTGGTTTCACATATGTTGAGTTTGAGAGGACCAGAGTGGGAAGGGTAGAGGAGAATGGATGAGAAGAGAGAGAGAAGAAGAGAAAGCAAAAAGCAAAAAAAAAAAAAGAAAAAAAAGGTCTCTCAGAACTCTGTTTTTTTTTTTCCAGTATGTGGAGTTGTCTATTCCTAGCTTGAATCTCTGCATTGAGGGTGGTCAGGTAGCCAGTGTGAGGGGACTTGAGCTTCCACCTGGAGCCTCCCTACTCTTAGTCTCTGAGATGGAAATCAGGTGCCTGTACAGTTGCTGTTCTGCATTGATAACTACACCCCCCAAAAGCTTCTGAGAAAAATTTTGAGTTATCACAACTGGGGGTGGGGGAGTTGGAAACCAGGTACCTGATCAGAGGTAGAACCGTTCTCGTAGCCACACCCACTGATTAATGGCGAGTAAGGTTTTCCAAAATGGATTCCATATGTTTCTCACGTAGGGTGTTTGGTGAGGTGGGGGGGTGCTGAGGAGACCTTGTGCTTTGTCCAGAGCTCAATCTGGTGATCCGCAAGCAAACTCTCTGCATGAGTACTATTCCTTATATGTTAGGTTTGTTGCAACTGTTTTCCCAAATTGTCAATTTAATTTTAATTGTGTTCTTATTGTGCTTTTTCTTATCTTTACTTTTTTGTATATATTTCTTACTATATGAAACTCCTTATGATGTAAAATGGTGAACTTCAGAAGCCTTATACCACATCAGAAGAGAAATAAAACAGAGTATGGTGTTTTTCCCCTTTACTTTCTGCAGCCCAGTGTTTCAGAAATCAAAACAAGCTACCTTTCCATCATTGTGGATCCTAGAGAAATGCCCCTTGATCAACAATGTGACAGGCTTCCCTATGATGACAGCAAATGGGAATTTCCTCGGGACCGGTTACAGTTGGGTATGTACCAATTTCTTTCACTAAAATCTAGGTTACACTTAGATTATTGTATGCAATACTATTCAACCTCATTCATGATTGGTCTAGAAAATTGGATATATTTTTTTTGAAATGTGGTGATAGTAAACAAATCAAAAATTAGAAATTAGGGTAGCAGAATTGTATTGTACATATAACATGCAACTAAAAGATTTTAGATGTACAATCTGGGTAATCTTAGAGAAGACAAGTCCCTTAACTTCTCTAAGACATGTTTTTCTCATTTATAAAAGGGAGACATTAGGACTGATGTGTATTTTCTTACATTCCATCACTTTTGTGGGAATTCAGTGTGAGAACATTTGCCAATATGTCTTACAAATTTAAAGTACTTCACAAATGATAGGGATTGGTTTTAATTAGAATCTCTTTAACAAAAATTTCTTGGGCTAGAGGAAGCACAGAGTCTTTTCCATAAATAATTGCACTTGAATGACTACAAACTTATATCCAGAATATCAGTAGCTAATGTGATTACTAATGAAGTATATTACTAGGAGACTTACAACGTTTAAAAGGTATATAACACTTTTACCTACTGAACTAGTATGTGTCTGTAGGCCATTATGGATCTTCCTCAACCCACAAAGTTCTTTGTCTCCATGGCTGATGTGGTATAACCTTTCATTTGCTTGCTTCATACACACATATTTGCTAGATATCTGCTATGTATTAAAACATTATCCTAGCTGCTGAGTATATAGTTATTAACATGAAAGTCTTCATTGAACTTACATTCTAGTGTGGTAGATTAATAATAGATACAATAATAAATGATAAATAAATATAATATTATCTAGTAGATAAGTATTATAGAGGAAAATTGAGGAGGAGAACAGCATTATAATTTTACATAGCGTGGTCTGCAAAACCTCTCTGTGAATGCTTTGTCTTTGGGATGCTGGTATTCGTTACAAGAACTCAAATGTGCACTTCTTTCTGAGGTCTTTCAAAATTGCTAATTTTTACTTCTTGTCCCCCTCAGGCAAAATCCTGGGCCATGGTGCCTTTGGAAAAGTGATAGAAGCTTGTGCCTTTGGCATCGACAAAGCTTCAACCTGTAAAACAGTGGCAGTGAAGATGCTAAAAGGTAATATTTCTAATGCTTTGGAAGCCATTGAGGAACATCTATAGGTATACTTTTGGGACAGGTAGAAAACTGTACTGTAAAAGACATGAACTAGAAGTAAAGGAGGTAAATAAATACAGCTTCTACCATCATTCCATCTTCATGTTCATGAAAAATAGCAGCCACGTAAGTATGACCAGTCATTGTGGAAACTTGTATGACAACCTGTTTATCTCCTTTGCATACAACAACTTAAATGCAGAAGTAATGACCTGATATATATTTTTATTTATATGTAACAATGGAATGCATTACAACTCTCATTACATACATAGAGCTCAATTTTTCATATCTCTGGTTGTATACATAGTATACGCACACCAATTTGTGTCCTTATACATGTGCTTTGGTTAATAATGATCATCACATTCAACCATCATTAATTACCCCAAGCCCCCTCCTTTCCCCTCCTTCCCCTCTGCCCTACCTAGAGTTCCTCTATTCCTCCCATGCTCCCCTTCACTATCCCACTATGAATTGGCTTCCTTATATCAAGGAAAACATTCGGCATTTGGTTTATGACCTGATATTTTTAATTGCTGGTAATATCAGTATAAGTCCTTAATGGTATTTGGATACCAGAATCTCAATGTATCAGTGGAATTATATGGTATCGTATATACTTGAATAGAAATCCAAGTGAATTCTCCACTGGTCATGATGCATCAGTTATGGTGTGTTTTAAGTCTTGAATGGATAAACATGTGACTAAACATTTGAATACTATCCAATCCATGCCTCTGATTCCACATGTCCACATAAATCAATATTTAGAACAATCTGGGCCAATTAACTCATTACCTCTTATAGTACATTAATTGATAAAATGTTTATCACATAAAGGATTATATTCCAAGAGTACCTGTTTCAAAATGAAAAATCAGAAAAGTTATTGAGGCTAATACTGCATAGAGCTCAGAGTAGAGGCAAATTAGGACATGCTACAAAGGTATTATTTGTTTAAAATATTGTTTGGAAAGGACAACAAACCAACATCTGAGTGGTTGTGTTCCAGACTTTTCTGCCAGAATTCCTTTACCAGGAAGTTGTATTTCATATGCTCCACCATTACTCTTAGGGACAAAAAAAATTCTTTTTGTATGATTATTGTGTGTATCTCAAACAGATTGTGCAACATCCAACGAGTGTAAGGCTTTAATGTCAGAGCTGAAGATCCTCATTCACATTGGTCACCACCTCAATGTGGTCAACTTACTGGGTGCTTGCACTAAGCCTGGAGGTAAGAAGACTTTCATAGCTAGACAGATCTCTTTCCTAGAGATTATATGCTCAGAAGCAAGGTAGTCCCTGATTTAGATGACTACCTGAATTGCATGTGAGGTTCTTATAACTTATAGACTTATCACACTTCATAGGATCTCCAGAACTCATGTTCTCAGCCCCCTGCTCTAGGGAAGGCTGTACAATATACAAAGAAATTGAGTTTATATCTAAGATTCCTGCTAACTCAACATTGTATCTGATCTTGGACAGGATAGTTGGAGAGAATTTGCCAAGGAAATGTGAAAATCTGTTCAAGACATGGTACTTTCTAGACTTCTTGAGTCATCTATCTTACCTTCAGTGTACTTACTACCATAGCCTGAGGAGGGTTTCACCCACTTTTTCAACAAGCATATTTCCATGCCCTGTCTATTTACATATTTCTTCTCTACACTAAATCTAAAACATTTTTTTTTACTTCCCCCTATGAGAATTCTACTGCACTGTCCTTTCACTTGCCTTATTTCAAACAGCATTTTCTAAGCACCCACTGATTTTAGTTAGGGTCTTCCTTAAGGATGTTAGAGGAGAGCCGTGCTACTGAAATAAATATGAATAAAATACACATCAAGGCAAATGAAAATAAACTTGAAAGCCATGAGCAAACTGCAGAAAAATTTAGTCCATTGAGTGAACCTTTTAGAATGAATTTTATCAATAAAATTATGGTGGGGTTGGGACAACAATATATAAAGTGGGAAAGGTAATATAATGCCTAAAATATCCAACGAGTTGTTCACATTTGCCTTGGTCATTGGAGTGTAAACTGTCCTATTAATTCTTTCATATCTCATTCTGTACATCTTAGGGAACTTCACAGGTAAGCTCAGCAGGATTATTAACCTTATTTTCCCCTATTTGACAATCTCACTTTTTCATGTTTCAGCAGCCGGCATGTCTTTGGGGTCAGTCACCATTGTATCCAGCTCAAGTTATCCATCAACTAGTTTACAACTAAAGAGATTTAATGAAATTTTAGGATATTCCATGTCCAACAGGTTACCAAGGGCAGAGTAGCCCAAGAGTTGGCTAACTTTTACTAACTTTCATGAAAAGATGACTATAGATATTACTTTTGGCAGGTCCTTTGATGATCATAGTAGAATTCTGCAGATATGGAAACCTAGCTAATTTTCTGAGAGGGAAGAGAGGAGATTTTATTGCTTCCAAGGTAGGTTTCTCCAACTGAACCCCACATTCTATTCCACATTTTGAGTCTTCTCTGGAGATTTTATGATGATACATAGAAAGAGGGAGAAGGGGAGAGCAGAGGCTGGGGGATTATTAATCAGGGATAATAGTATGTACACTTATGCATCCAATAAAGATTTGAATTAAGTTACCTCTAGAATCACTTCCACTGATGTTGCTTTGAAACTGGCACTCATAATTCTGTCATTAGCTGAAATTATAACTTTTGTGTGTGTAATTCTCTTATATTCCAAGGCCAAAATTGGTGAGGTATGCCAAGATTCCATTATGCCTTTAGGCTTTCATAGACATGCCAGAGCTCTCTATTTCTTTGAAATCTGGGATGAAGCTCTATATTTTGGATAACTTCCACCATTAAGGAAATAGTTAAAGACATATATCTCATGTTAGCACTTTTTTATTGTCCCAAGATATACATGTTGCAACTGTCCTTGTCTTCCCAGAGAAAAGCTGGTTGTCTGTGCTTCACAAAGTACTGCAAAGTGTTGTACCTGATTATTATGTTGTGATTTATTTTGAAATTTTTTGATATTGGATATTAATTAATAAAATAACTTCTAGAATCCATCCAACTGATTGGGAACTCTGAACTTAGCTAGAAATTTATTATTTTCATCAATGAGTTCCATCTCAGTCTAACTTTAGCAAATGGAAAGGAAGTAATCATAATTTTAAAACAGACCTGGCTCCCTTCTATTTGCCCAATTTCTGAGCATAGGAAAATAATAATTTGATACCCTTTGAACTACCCCTGCTTATGAGATATCCTTGTCCTATGCAGGCTTGCTGAATTCCATGTCAAGGTAACACACTGAGATGGTCAACTCTCAGCAATTTCCTCCCACTAAGGATAAACTAGCTGGAATTTTGATATAGAAAATAGAATTTTAGATTAGCAGTCATCACTCTCAGCTTTGCTCTCAAATTATGTGAACTCGCAGAACTCTCTTATACCTCTCTGGTTCTCAGCTTCTCTAATGAAAATAGAATATATTGAATTGGATGATTCATAAGTTCTCTTCAAACACTGATGATCTGTTTAAATTCTCAGTCCCAGCTCAATATGGGAAAAAAGGTGAAGACTATTCATGATTCTGACAGTGATCTCACTGAGCTAACTAAGAATCATCTGCAGAATGTGGCTAGCACAGGAAGTTCCATCAGTTCTGGTTTTATAGAAGACAAGAGTTACAGTGAATCTGATGAGGAGGAAGAAGCTAGCTGCTACCTTCTGGGGGCCACAACAACCCACCATGTAGGTAAGTACAAGTAGACCCTATCATTATGGCGAAACCTCAAGGCTAATGAGGATATAAAGTAAGGAGTCAGTGGGTAAATGAGGCCTAATCAGCAAGACCAGGCAATCCCATACCATTTTCTGTAGCCATTTCTATCTAGCATAGAGGACTTTTGCTTTATGCTGAACTTGCACTTAAATTAGCAATCAGAAGTATCTTATAATGATGATATCCTATAATGTCTTAGACATGTACAGTTTCCAAATCATTTTTGCATGAATGTTTTCCTCCATCTTTCTCATGACATGGTTAGAGGTGCTTATTCTCATAACAGAGGAGTACTATTACTCAAAGTAGGGATGATATAAAAATATTAACCTATATTAACTCCATCTCAAACTGTATAATATATACTTAATTATTAACAAATAATGTGGATGACTTTACAAAATATTAGTGTATAAAACACAACATATGATTAACAGACATTAAGATATTTTCTAAAATAGAGACTAATGTAAATAGATACCTAGTGTATCCATGGGCTGGGATATACCCTTTAGTTGCTGAATCATGGAAAAGTTTAGACAGGAAAGAAGTAACTGGAGTGTCGGAGTAACTTGGGTATCTTGAGATATAGCTGTTTCCAAGCAATGTGAAAATATTTCAAGAATAAACAACTATTAGAGCTATATAAATATATAATAGATTTTCCAAAATGGAATAAATAAATATTTATAAAAAAACAAATTGAACTCAGGCATTCCACCTATTCTTATTTTACCCAACATTCCAGTCAAAACTGTCAGACTTAGGCATTGACCTTGAGTGACATTACTCTTGTTCTACTTGAGGTTTCTGCCTATTACATTAAGTGCTACTTCTGATATTCCCAAGGTGGTTGTGCTCTTAGCCATCCTATGTTCTTTTATTTTCCTGTTGGTCAGAAATAGACCTTCATGTGTAGTATCTATCTGGCTTATAGAAATGAAGTAATTTTCACTTTCTTGAGAAACCTTTGATCTGTGTCTTATTACCTTGAAGAAGCCACATCTCTTTTATAGGTCTCAGTTTACCTTCCTGTGAAATGATGGAAGGAATTGGTCTAGAATCATTATAAAGGACCTTCTAATTATACTTTGGGGATGGCATAACATCAGGAAGAGCAGAAGAAATTTCTTTGAACTTTGTATGTTTTAAGAAAAATGAAGAGAAGGGCAAACAAGCAATAAATAGGGAATATACATGACAAGTAAACATTCTGATTATAAAAATCCAGTCCTGTTGTCACTATTAATCATGGATATTTACTGGAGATTCCCAAACTTTGCTTCTAAAAATCATCTACATTCTTTTGTACTCAGAAGAGGCAAGGGAATATCAATAAACCACTTATTATTTTTTGAAAGACAGACCTGTCTTTCAAAAGAACTTTCAACAGAACATTCAAGGTATGAGCTTTTAAATCAATGAAGACACAATTTTAGATTCTTTTCCCTCACAAAGATTTGAATAAATTACTAAAAAATGCACATATTATCCTAGTGGAGTAAGTCATACCAAGGCCTGTTGTCAAAAAATTGTCCCTTGTTCTCTATGGTTTCATGGAAATAAGGTGTCTTTCCTCTACCATATGATTACCTATCCAGGATTATGGGACATTCTTCAACTCTTGGCCATCTGTAATATTCTCTGTTCTTCCTATTCTCAGATGACCTCTTCAAGCATCCCCTTACCTTAGAGGACCTCATCTGCTATAGCTTCCAAGTAGCCAAAGGAATGGAGTTCCTTGCTTCCAGAAAAGTGAGCATTCATTATTCTTCTTCCTTCACTTCCATTGATTGGAGATGCAAGGAAGATGGATTATAATGACCACAGTGTCCGTGGTAGCTGTTTTTCTTTTTAATAGTCTTACCTTATACTTGTGTTCCAATTTTCTCTCTCCAATTAGTCTTTGAAAAATATGCATACATGCATTCATTCACCTTTGAGACAGCTACTCACCTGCCTTCCTACAGTTTGGGGGGACTTGCTTTTCAAACTAATTTAGAAGGTGGCTAGATTAGGATTATTTAGACCTGTGAATTGTGCACATTATTTTATACTGAAAATGAATTTGTTCAGCAAATATGTGGTGATTGTCTGTAATGTTCTTTCTGCTAAAAGCTGAGATACAGACATGAAAGATGTAATTCTCCTTCCTCAGAATCCAATAAAAAAGACATACTACATATAACAGGATATTGTCTAGGATAGAAATATGAAATAAATGCTTTGTGATTACATAGGAGTAGTCCTAGAGAATCTGTGAAGGTTTCTAAGAGAAAGTTATATTTCAGCAGTATAATAAAGAAATGAAAAGTTTAAGGTATATAGGATTCAAGGAGGTAAATGTGGCAGGAGGAAGATGTAGCTGAATACAAAGCTTGACATAGACTGTAAAAGGTTTTGAATGCCATGCCAAGGAATATGAACTTAAATGGTTTCCAGTTACTGTAAAATAAAAAGCTTCTAAACAGGCATTTTACATGATTAGATTTGTTTCTTAGGAATTAAATTTTGATAGCTAGAATGGGTGATGGACTAGTCCATGTGGCTAGAATGAAAGCAGAGAGAACAGTTAAGTAACCATTGGTGTTGTTCAAATGAGAGAAAATAAGATCTATTGTAATTCAGGGCACTAACAGTGAAATACAGTAGGAGGGAATGGACCTTTTCTAAGGTAAGATAGTCAATGAGAGTCCAAAGAACAAAATGTGTAAGAGTTAAACAGGTGTTATCATTCTAGTACAGATTCTGCCTACCCTGCCAGTTTCCAAATGGATCAATTTATCTGTGTAAGGTACTTTGTTTTCTGGGGCTGGGCACCTCTGTGAAACTTCCTTTTTCTGGTTTCCCATTCGTTTTCAACTCCATGCTCAATTTCCACTTATTCTTTTTCTTTTTCTTTTTTTTTGGTTGAAAGTCTTTTAATCTGTACCATCCTAGGGCCCCAAAGCTCTAAGAGCCACCTTCTTATTTTTTCTTTAGTGCATTCATCGAGACTTGGCTGCTAGGAACATCCTTCTAGCAGATAACAATGTTGTAAAGATATGTGACTTTGGTTTGGCCAGAGACATCTACAAAGATCCTGACTATGTCTGGAAAGGAGATGTAAGTTCAAAGTTCCCTGGCATGAAACACCAGACAACTACTCTTGCCTCTAATGGGGTTACAGTCTCTATTCTGAGGGTTTTCTTCTATCTTGTTTTTTTTTTAGGCAAAACTCCCACTTAAGTGGATGGCACCTGAAGCCATTTTTGACAAGGTGTATACAACCCAGAGTGATGTGTGGTCCTTTGGAGTTCTGCTTTGGGAAATTTTTTCTCTGGGTATGTGAGTTTGTTTCTGATCAATCCGTTTTATATGTAGTTACGGCTGTTGCTGCAATAGAGCACTTACAGACCAGTTAGCATTGCACACAGTATCAAAGTTTAAAAGATCTAACACTATGGATACAATGAAATCATGCATAAAAATCTTGCTACCAAGAACCAATAAAAACTGTCTCATAATTTTATTGTATATTAATTTGTTCAGTAAGTACTTATTGAAAATTTTCTACATGCCAGGCATTTTAACTGCTGGGGACCCAGTCGTAAACAAAGAAGATGACAGTTCCTGACACTATGGAACTTACATTCTCATCAGAAGAGACTGACAATAAGAAATTAATAAGTAAAATATGGAAAATATTCAATGATATTAGCTACTGTGATATAAAATTGAAAGCTAGGAAGTAAGATAGGAATATTGGGATTGGGCAAAATGGGATAAAGTTCTAAATCTTTAAATAAGGTAGGCTTCACAGGAATGTAAATATTTCAACATAGCCCTGAAGAACTCATGAGATAACCTGTAAAACTGTGGAGGAAAAGTAATTCTATGGAAGAGAAATATCATATGTAAAGATTCTGAGTTTAGAGTGTGCCCAGTGGGTTGGAGGGTCAAGCAGGAGGTATTATGAATGAGCAAAGGTGAGAATACTGCAGTTTGATGTGTCATTAGGGAGAGAAGGGTGGATGTAGATCAGACAGTGTTTTGATTGCAAAAAGATGTTAAGTAAATTTTCAAAGATTTCACAAAGTGCCAGGACTGATTCCAACCTATCTGACTCCCAAGCTCTCATAGATACTGACAGTCTTGCCCATAATGTAAATGGTAAAACTAACATTAAAACCAGGCTTCCTGACTTCTGATCCTACATTCTTAATAGTAGGAATAAAAACTTAAGGTACACAGCATAGAAATGACCAGATACAAGAATTTTAAGAAAGATAGCTTTCTATCTGTTTGTTTTATGCCTTGCAAAAGATTATTCTCTTCTCATGACTCTAAATCATTATTCTTTCTATGATTCAAGGGAATTTTTATTAAAATCATCCAGGCATGCCTTTTAGAAAACCAAGTGAATCTAACTAAAAAGTAGATATTTAACTCAGGATCTGTGTTACTAAATATAGAGAAGTATTCATGGCTTTGACTGTTGAGATTTAATATAATGGAAGATGTTTGTGTTGTTTATCAGAGGCTGCTTTTGTGATTATACAGGATGTCTGGTCTCTTGGTCTAGATACTTTTTCATTTTTTTCCTTTTTTATTTTTTAGTACCAGGATTGACCCCAGGGGTTAATCACTGAACCATATCTCCAGCTCCTTTTTATTTTTTTATTTTGAGACAAGGTCTCATTAAGTTCCTTAGGGCCTTACTGCATTGCTGAGACTGGTTTCTACTTGAGAACCTCTTGTCCCAGCCTCCTGAGCCATGGGGATTACAAGAATGCACAACCATGCCTGGCTTTGTCTAGACTCTTGAGGTGTTTTAGAGGCAAGAGAATAAAATATGTTTGATGAACAGGAAAAAGACACAATTTAATATTTATCTAAAACACATGGTGATCAAAAATAAAGAAATACACTGGGACAGAAAATAAGCCATTATTCTTATTGGCTTATCCCTGTGACATGAAGTTTTACTTTTGGGCTGTCAAAAATCTATTTTTCCTCTGTATACTAGGCATTTTGTTTATAAAGTATCATGGAGAAATTGTTTAAATTTTTTTTATATTATATATTTTGTTTCTGAAAGCCTCCTGTATGTGGATGTCTGTCAAATCCCCAAAGTTTGGAAAATTTTCTTATATTCTTTCACTGGAAAGTGTATGTATGCCCTTAGCTTATATCTCAGAACCCTGTTTAATTCAAATGATTCCTAGGTTTTCTTCTTTTAAAGTTGTCCCATAATTCCTGAAATTCTGATCATGGTTTCTTTTTGTCTTTATTGCTGATTGAGTTTTCAAGATCACATACCTTGTCTTAAAAAGCCTAAAAATCTACCCGTTATGTGGTCTTATCTATTAGTGGTATTTTATACTAAATTTTTTAAATGGTGTATTGAATCTTTCACTTTTAGGATTTTTTTCAGAATCTCTTTTTATTGAAGTAAACTTTTACTTAATGTATAATCTCTCTCAGTTCATCGCTCAGATTTCTTTTAGTTCACTGTTCATTTTAACCCTCAACTTTTTGAATTATTTGTCTCTTATGTCATCCATTTGAATATGTGGATTCATCTATTGGTTTATTGTCAAATTTGGAATCATCTTCTTTCCTTGATTTCTCATGTTTCCTGTATTTCTATATTGAGAATTGCATATCTGCTGAAATGGATCTCTTTCCCACTGTTGTCTGAAGAACCCTTTTATATTATTTTAATTTATTATATTTTTTGATTCTTTTTAGTTATAAATGACAGTAAATTGTCTTTGATAGGATACTTTCACTTTACTCTGTGTCTTGAGAGAGTGGTAAAACTTTGTGTCAAAGAACCCAGTCAATGTGTTCAGTGTGCTTTGATCAACTTCATCCACCCATTTTGAGGGTAGATAATGATCACATTTAAGAGTAAATCTTGAGTTCAAACAATATATTAATAAATAATTAAATTTATTAAAAACATTTTCTATAATTCTATAATAGTTAATTTGAATTGTCAATGTGGTTGGATTAAGAGATGCCAAAGATTAAGAGGCTTCCGAGTGGGCTGGGGATATAGCTCAGTTGGTAGAGTGCTTATCTTGTTTGCATAAGGCTCTGGATTCAATCCCCAGCACCACACACACACATACATACATACACACACACACACACACACACACACACACACACACACACGAGTCTTCTGGGCACGTAAATGAGGGTGTGTTTAGGAATGATTTGTATGTGGGATAGGGAACTGAATTGGATCTCCTCCCTAAGTGTGGGTAGCACTGTCCAATAGGATGATGGCTTAGATGAAATGAAAGTTGGAGGAAGAATGAAGCAGCACCAGATTTAAGTTGGATTCTTTTTGAATGAGTTCTCATTTGCTGATTAGATCACCTCAGGATATCAGACTCACTCCTTCCCTCTTCCAAAGCCAATGATTCTCCAAGGACTTTCCAAAAGCCTTTGGTCTCAGGCTAGGGTAGCATTGTTGATCCCTCTTGTTCTGAGGTGTCAGTGTCTTGGACTATGCAGCTACAAGATCTTCCATCTCTGCAGCTTACAGACAGCCATTGCAGACTATCGAGTTTCTGGTTGTGTAAGCCAATCTAATAATTTCCCTTTTTACAATTATACTTCCAACTGATTCTGTTCCTCTAGGGAACCCTGACTAATACAGAAATTGGTACCAGGAGTGGGCTCATATCTGTGAATATACAGATCATGTGGTTCATAAGCATCTGGAACTCTTTGGAATTGGTGGGAGGAATTTTTAGATGTATAGCAGTGAAAGGTGGAAATGCTTTATATTGTTGGAAACAGAGATTAATGCCTGATTCTGGTGGGATCTCAGAAGACCAGAATGCCAAAAGGACTGTGGACAGTGAAGAAAGGGCTCAAAAAGGTTGAGAAAAGGAGGACTGTATTGGAATTTGGAGTAGAGGCCATTTGTGTTATGTTATGGCTGAGAAGTTGTCTGCATTTTGCCCTTGTCCTGAGACTTTCTGTGAAGCTGATTTTAAAAGTGATAAACTTCTTGGGCTGGGGATGTGGCTCAAGCGGTAGCGCGCTCGCCTGGCATGTGTGTGGCCTGGGTTCGATCCTCAGCACCACATACCAACAAAGATGTTGTGTCCGCCGAGAACTAAAAAATAAATATTAAAAAATTTCTCTCTCCCCTTCCTCCCTTCCCCCCCCCTCACTCTCTCTTAAAAAAAAAGTGATAAACTTCTTAATCTGGCAGAAGAAATGTCTAGGCTGCATAGCATTTAGGTGGTGGCATGGATATTTCTGGCAGCTTTTACCCAAATTTGTTGTGATAATCAGAAGCAGAAAGATTTGAAAAACTTGAACTTGAAATACAGGAATAAAACTGGGGCCAAGGAAGTTGCAGTTTTTAAAGACATTATCACCTCTAAGAAATGCTAAAAACTTTTCAGAAAGATAATGAGAAAGATGGCTTGAAGGCATCTCAGGAGCTGGCAAGACTATAGCCATCTCAGATTCAAGAAAGTAAAAGTAAAAATTTTCTTGAGAATGGACCAATTGGGTACCCTTTTGCACAAGGGTGACTAGGAAGTTTCTACAACATGCTCAGCCACCCAGGAACTCAGGGGTTGCTGCAGCTAGTGTCCCTGGAGGCTTAGACTTTTAGTCCCAGCAGTGAAAAAGCTGATTAAAACAATTCCAATAGTTCTGAAGTGGAAAATGATTGTAGTATCAAGGCAGACCTTGGTATCAACCATGTAGTGCTGGTTCTGCAGGAATGCATTGTATTAGTGTTATGGGGTAATGGAGGCTTCCACCAGGATTTCTAATGAAGGCCTGGGAAGCCAGGCAAGGTGTAGCAGTGCTGGATTCCCTTCTGGTAGTCCCTGAGAGGGCAAAGCATGGAGATGTGAAGAGAAAGTCAAAGCTGCAGTGGAGATCTCTGAGATTAAGAAATACTAGTAACAGGGGACATCATCATAGGAAAGCTGTAAGAATTGAGTAGAGACAAGCCATCAGAAAGGCCACTTGGGCTGCAATCAACAAGGCCAAGGGGGGGGCATCTGCACAAGCTCTTTATAGAGAACATCATAATGTCATGTGCTCCAGATGCCAGATACAGAACTACAGGACTTGTTTGCCCAGCTGGATTTTAGTCTTGCTTTGGTCCTATCCATTTTTTTCTATGTCCCCGTTTTTCTGAATGGACATATTTACTGGGTATAATTATATGTTAGATATTATAAATTGTTTTATTAATTTTATAGGAGCTCACATTACAAGATTGCTTTAAGCCTCAGAGAAGACTTTGGGCTTGAACTTTGAGTAATTTTGAAAGTGTTGAAACAATGGGGACTCT